AGGGGGGGGGGGCAACAATGATTACTCTACGAAAAAAAATACTCATGTTCAGCTGGTGGGAGCACGGAAGGAGTAGCAGTAGGGGGCACACTCCACGCTCGCTCCGCGAAAAAAGCAATGCATACGTATGCACAGCAGCAGTGCACAACAGTTGACAAAAAAAACAGAACGTGCTATGCATACAAGCAGCGTTCTCTGTACCTCTGTCTGTGTGTTCTGAATTGTGTTGTACCCGGTACAGCACTTTGTATGTTGTAGTTCATGCTGCTTGCTACTGCTGTTGGAGTAGTTGCTAAGCAGATCTCATCCAGCAGCAGCAGCAGCACCAGAGCTACATCGTACATGTAGCACTACTGCTGCTGCTGCTGCTGCTGCTACTGTTGTGTGAGCAATGCTACGGTAGGGGGGACACTTTTTAAGACATGGGCCACATGCTGTCGCCCGACAAGGTCAATATATATGCTCGTAACTCTCTCAATTTTTGCATTTCAAGGAAATCAATTCTGCCCAGGCAGCCGCCTGGCGTATATCCCGCGGTGTGCAAAACAATAAGCATTTTTTCCATTGGTTGAGGCAGTACACACCAGTCCGCCAAAACATTCCATGTGACCGAGTGGGTACCCCCTATCGTCGCATCCCTCGTGTGTCACGAGAGAGTTACGTAGGTGTGGCTTCCCGACGAATTCTCGCGTGTGTTCATTCCTGCCAAATCATTTTTTGACAGGGAGAATGAGATAACTCACACAGCAGTAACATAACAGAACAGCAGACACACGAGGGCGCTACACAAGAGGAGCAGTCATGTTTTGTTTTGAAAAGTGAAAAAGATTCGCCGAAAAGATTTCTAAGCAGGCAATCGATGCAGGAAGAAAGATCCGTTCTCTCGTGTGTACCTGCCAAACAAAGTACACAGCAATGACATATCTCCCGCAAAATAGGATGGATTGAAAGGTATCGCACGGCAACAGCAACAACATCAGCCCCGGCTAGGCCGCTTCTGGCTACGAGAAACCGAAAAAAGTTGAGGGTGGATACGCTGTTCATCGTGTTGGTAAGCACATCGTGAAGGAGACACGATGATGATCGACGTACTGCTGTAGTTGATGCGTTCTTTCATGTCTAGAAAAAATGTACTATTTAGCTGGCTACTAAACTATGTTTAGATTTTGGCCCCTCCCTGTGTACAGCACGCGTCCCGCACATCATTGATAGGTAGATCGATTCACACAGCAGTAGCAAAAGAAGGGGGTCGAGGATGGATGCGGTGTTCTTGCCGTGAAAACAGAAGAAGTTTTCGTCGGAAAGAAAGACCCATCCGTCTGGCGCTCTTTGCCAGTAATCTTCATCCCGTCGCTGCCGTGGTTCGGTTACCGGTTGGTCGGTCGGTCGGTTGGTGGGGTTAGGGTTAGGGTTGGGTTGGGTTTGGGGTTGGGTAGCGTAGCGTAGCGTAGCGTAGCGTAGGGTTGGGCCGGTTGTTCGGTCGGTCGGTCGGTTGGTTGGTTGGGTTGGGCAGGGTAGGGTGGGTTTGGTCGGTCGGTTGGTCGGTCGGTTGGTCGGGTTGTGTGTTGTGGTCGGGTTGGGCTGGGTTGAGGGTGAAGTTGGGTCGGTCGGTCGGTCGGTCGGGTTGGGGTTGGTTTGAGTTTTGGGTTGGGTAGGGTACGGTAGGGTAGGGTAGGGTTGGGCCGGTTGTTCGGTCGGTTGGTTGGGTCGGGTTGGGTGGAGGGTGTGGGTTTGGTCGGCCGGTTGATCCGATTGTGTTTCGGGGTCGGATTGGGTTGGGGGTAGGGTGGGATATACTAGGTCGGTCACTTGAGTCGGTCGCTCAGTCGGTCGGTCGGTCGGTCGGTCGGTTGGTTGGTCGGTTGGTCGGTCGATCGGGCGGTCTGGTTCGCACAGACTTCTTCGTGATCGCGCTCGGCTCCTGTTCGTCACTTGTACCTGCATGTCTGTGGCGGAGTGTTTAGCGTCCATCATCCTCCCTCAAACCAACAAAAAAACTTCACTCGACCGTGTCGACTTTTGGGTTGAATTGGTATGGCTTGGGCTATGTTAGGTTTGGGTTGGGGTTGTCGCCGCCGTCAATTGCGCCTCTGTGGCTTCGTCGTTCGTCGCCATTGGATTGGGTTGGATCGGGTTTGGATGGATATGATTGGGCATGGTCGGGGTAGGGTTGGGTAGAGCTGGGTAGGGTTGGGTTGGATCGGTCGGTCAGTCGGTCGGGCGGCCTTGGGCCGCCTTCTTCGATCGCGCCGCCGTCGCTCCGTCGATCGTCGCCGTCGGTCGCCCGACTGCGGAATCTGTGGCGAACAGATCCTCCCTGGAGACGCCGTGGCCATGCCGTGCGGCGACGGGTCGCACGTTCTTCACCGAGCTTGCGCGGAAGGCTACATCAGGCCGTACCGGCGGGAAATCGGCGGTGCAGTCGTCGTCCAGTGCATTTGACAGTCGGGCAAGGAGGGCGTGTTTGTCCCTGGAGGCGCTGGCACAGGAGTGGGGGGAGGGGAACCCCCCGGGTTGGGTTGGGTCGGTCGGTCGGTTCGTCGGCGACCGACGGCGACGATCGACGGAGCGACAGCGGCGCGATCGACGAAGGCGACGCAACCCCAACGCAACCCCAACCCAACTCAACCCGACCAACCGACCGACAGACCGACCCTACGACGGGGGGAAAACATATCAGATCAAACAGACGGGTGAACGGAAAATTCCGAAACGAACTCACGTCCACAGTGACCTGGGTGCAGACCTATTTTTTCGTCACCTTCTGTTCTACGTTCATGCAACGTCGTTCTATGTTCGGTCCAACGTTCCGGCGCTTTGCAAGCTGTGCTGCTGCGGGTCGTGGGTGCTTGTTAGCTATGTACCACGGCGTCTGTTTGCCTGTACCTCACGAAGGGTGAGAGCCAGGGAGGAGGTGTAACAATGCAATATGAGCAGCCAAGAACATAGCAGCAGAATCAAGCAGCAGCAGCAGCACAGCGGCACAAATGTCTGGGAGTCGAAGACAGCAATAGAAACGAGAAAACCAACAAACAGGCTGCGGGGGTTGTTTTGAGTTGAAGAGCGGGCAAATGGGACCTACCGACAGACAGCTAACCTCGCACCATCAATCAGCCGCGAGCCATAACAGCGTTCCACCTCTTAGATTGCTACGGCTTGAACGGCCTGCCCGCTGTAGTAGGCGGTCAGACCTTTCTCGCGGGCGGGCGTGTTTTTTATGTCCCTCCAGCGTGCAGCAAGCGCAACCATGGAGTACAGACGCGCGTTTTCGAAACTGCTATAACGGATACCTGTGACCAAGCAAGGTGTTGTTTGCTGTTCTACAACGCGCTACTGCTGTGCTAGAAGGAAAACAATGTTACAGTTGCTTCAAAGAACATGCAAGACTCTCCAAGTCGAACAGCCGCCTGGAAACAGAAGGGAGAAGAACACCCGAACAGCCTCCACTGCTAACGACCAGCCAAGACGATCTGTATAGCGAATCTTACATAGCGGCAAGCAAAACTCATAACAAGTGATTTATCCGGACCTCCGCTATTTGGGAAGGTGGGGAAGGTCCTTGAATGCAGACGCGCCCGCATTTACGAACCCAGGAGTTAAGAAATTGATATAGCCTCAAGAATATCAAAATGTAAGAGCTTGAGCACCATGTGTGAGCCCGGTTGAGAACCCCTGCACTAAAGGCTATAAAGCGACCACTCGCAGCATGACCCTCGGAATACGGTAACAGCCCCATTCTTGGCCGAAACTAGTACGAGAGGTTCTCACGTGCTGGTAGTATTGTGTTGCAAGGAAGTAAGCACAAGATGCCGAACACCCTTAGCAGGATGCAGCGCACCCTTCATGCGACTCGCCGAACACCTCACGGCGCTTCGCGCTTGGTGACGTGAGAGCCTGGTTCGGTGATAACCCGGCGTGCGCCGTCCCGGCTTTGGCGGGATGCGAGGTCAATGGTCTAAAGACTTCGGCATGCACGGCTATGGCTACACCCCCCCCCCCCCCTAGCCTTACCCAGCAACTTGGTTCCCCGTAGTAAAAGGGTTAATCCTCTCGAGCCGGTCTAGTACTGTACCAGCACCCAACGTCAAGTTTGGAAAACTTACGGTATGAATAATTACCACCGGGATAATGCGGCCAATCATGATTCGGAATTGGGCTCGTCCCGCCGTATGTAGATGTCTGTCCAGCAAAGACATGGAGTATAGGTGGACGAAAACATCGGAGGTATGTCCGAGCCGGCGAACATAGCAGAACGCGCCACCTCCTGGTGTTGGAACCAACCCTCGCAATCTGTTTTATCCGCAAGGAAACCAAGAGAGAATGCATGCATGCATAGGTTCTGGTGCGGAGGGGAGTCCAAGAACGGAAATCTTCACGCCGCTCTGTAGTTTTCTTTCTTTGTTTTTTTTTCCAGAACAGACAACGAGTCCATCTCTATATTTTGTATCTGAACAGATAAGAGCCCCAATTTTTTTTTTTGGCGATGAATTATCGTTGTGTTGCATTGCCTGCCCGTGGTTCCGCTGGTGTTATCCGAGCAGCATACAGAAGTGATACATGATGACATCCTCTGCGGGTACACAGACAAAATGTCTCCTTTGTTTTTCCCCCCCGTGGGTTGATGACGTTGCTCCCTTTCTTATCTCCCCTGTGGGAAAAATGCGAGGTCAATGGTCTAACGACTACGGCATGCACGACTATGAGTACATCCCTGTGGGAAAAACTTGTCCCTTGCTTTTTTCCAAAGGTGTGTCGATTTCAGCAGCTCTCGGCGGACACCATGAGCCCCCCGGGCAGGGCCAAAGGCGCAGGAGGCGCCAGCGACGGCGGCGGTGGCGGCAGCAAGACGCCGGCAGAAACACCGCCGAGCCCGGCCCTCAGCGCTGCCTCGTCATCGGGGCGTGTGTCTCCCATCAAGCGGAAGCGGGAGCCTTCCATCACGGGTGAGTGTCAGAAAAGCTGTTTTGGTGTACCCGTTTTTGTGGATGATTATCGCGCACGGTTACGGTTAGTTAGGATCCGGAAACAGCAGCATTACGTTGTTGAGAAATTGTCGGCTAAGAGATCCACGCCTCTTATCCTTCGCGCATGAGCTCATCGGCTGCTCCTTTGTCGAGAGATTCTTTTCAGTTAAGAGATCTACGCCTCTTATCCGCGCCCTCCACACGCGTGCGGCTGCTTGTGCGCTTCATTCATTGTAGTTTTAGAGATTGCCCCTTTGACATACCACAAGGGCAGATTACAATTAAAACGTACCCCTTCG